CAATAGGTCTATTGTTTCCAACTCGAAACCAAATCGGAGAAAACAAGGTTGTGCCGACAATTCCATCCCAGTAAAGAAGATGTTCAGATTAGTCAATTAAAACCGAAACTTTCCGCAGTGCATTGCTACAAACGTGTACGGTGATGATAACGTCCATTTCTGAGAAGGGATAATTTAGAACCAGTTCGTATTCTATTAGACAATGGATCGATGAGAAGTTTTATAATTCGGGACATTTCAGAGAAGTATAAATTTACCTGTTATTCGAAAGGAGACTTTGTCCATATTTGCCTTTGGGGGTTAACCAGGCAACAGAACAAACTTACAATGTTGTGAAAGTTAAACTAGAAAACAGAAGTAAACCATCCCTAAATATAGAAATTGAAGCTTTAGAAACTAACCAAATATGTGCAATTAATTTAGCCTTCCCTGATATCCCAGTTTCCAAAATTAACAAAGAGATAATAGGATTACAATTAGCTGATTCTTGTGAATCAGTGACAAAAATATGCTGTTTTGATCGGAGCAGATTACTATCATGAAGTAATAACTGGTAGACTTAAACGTTTTAAAAATAAACTTATAGCTTCCGAAACAATATTTGGATGGTGCCTTCAAGGCCGGACTGATTCTAACGGTGAATTGTTAAACATGGACATTATTGTTGACTACAAATTGGTCTCAACACAGTTAAAGCAGTTTTGGGAATTAGAAACATTGGAAATTGAACAAGGGAAGGAAATTGGTAAAATAGATGACATTTTAGAGAATTTTAACAGAACTTTCAAATTTAAAGAAATGTGATATGAGGTTAACCTACCTTGGAATGAACATTCGTCTGAATTCAAAACGAATTACGTAAATGCAGAAGTTCGCTTTCATAAACTGGTTAAAAGGTTAAGAAATGATCCACTGCTTTATCAGCAGTATCACTCAGTTATAGAACAGCATTTAAAAATGGGTATAGCTGAGGAAATTGATCCAAGTTCTGAAGAAACAGGAAGAATTTATTACACGCCTCACCAGCCAGTTATTCGACCTGACAAACCCGTCAGAGTTGTATTTGATGCAGCCAGCCATTCGAAAAATGAATACTCTTTAAACGATTGTCTCTATTCCGGTCCTAATTTAAATCCACCATCGTTAGAGATATTAATACAATTTCGTACACATAACAGAACATTTACTGCCGACATCGAACAAGCCTTTCTCCGGATTTCTCTTGTCATCTGAAGATAGGGATGCTGTAAGATTTTTGTGGGCAAAATAACCTTACAGATAAGGATGGGAAACCCAACACGAAAATGCTATTTAGGATGACACACGTTTTGTTTGGAGCGCTACATCCAGCCCATTTTTGCTTGGCCGCTACTATCAAACATCCACATAAATACCTTTTAAAGAAACAAATCAGAAAGCAGTTAAACTATTGAACGAAATGTTTATACGTAGACGATTTAATAGGTTGGGGATGAAGACGAAAACGAAGCTAAACTCATATATGAAGATATTAGATTACACTGGTGTGCAAGGCTGCTAAGGTTTCGAACATGTGAAAATGGAAACAAATTGTGGGAATCTGCAGGAAGTTTTTGACGAATACGAAAATGGTGAAATCCAGAAAGTTCTGGAACAGAAGGTATTGGGATATAAATGGAATTACAAGGAAGACCTTCTGAAGATAGAATCACAAAATCTAACTAATCAAGCTCAAGGGGAAACAAATCTAATGACAAAAAGAGAAGTTCTTAAAACCATTGAAAAGCTTTACGATTCCATTGGATTTATAAGTCCATTCACTATTAGGGCAAAAATACTAATGCAGGAAATTAGGCAATTTAGGGTAGATTGGGATGATCCGTTACCATTGGACCAACAGAATGAAAAATGGATTAATGAACTGTCAGCGATTCAGAATGTAAACATTCCACGACATTACTTCCGAAAGACTAACAAGTCTGAATTGAGAGATATTCAAATGCATTGTTTTACCGACACAAGTCAGAAGGCATATGGAGCTGTGATATACCTGCGATACATCACGATGGACAGTGAAATAGGAAGTAGTTTGTCATTTCCAAAACCAGAATAGCTCCACTGAAGAAGCTGTCCGTTCCAAGATTAGAGCGCTCATCGGAGCAAGATTAGCCTCGAATGTCAAAGAACAGTTAGAGAAAAGACTCCAGATGAATGTATATTTTTGGTCAGACTTTTCTGTTACGTTACATTGGATAAAGGGCGATTTAAATAATGGAAGCCATTTCATCCACATCGAGTAATGGAAATACGAGAGAAAACATCACCTGGAATTATTGCCTTGGAGATGAAAATCCGGCTGATATGCTGACCAGAGGAACAAAGACAAATTCCACAAAAGGAATAACGTTGTCTGAACTACGAAATAGTGATATGTGGTGGCATGGACCTAAGTGGCTATTACAGAGCATCGATTCGTGGTCTAAACTTGCAGAATCAGTAAGAGATTTCAAAGATAATGAAGAGCTTGAACTTTGAAGGGGAGCTGTAGTGAACTCAACAGTCACAGGTGAAAATTTCATTGAGAACGAATTCATTAAAAGGTATTCGTCATTCAGCAAATTGATTAGAACTACTGCATGGTGTTTAAGGTTTGCGAACAACTGTAAAACCAATCCACCATTAAAAAAAGAAAGTTTGAGTGCTTCTGAATTACAGAATGCAACAAAAGTGCTAGTCAAATGTGTACAACATTCTGAATTTCAATCTGAAATTAAGTGCCTGCAGTCGAAACGATCAGTTCCAAGTAATAGTAAGGTTTTATCCTTAAATGTATTTCTGGATGAAGATGAACTTTTACGAGTTGGTGGGAGACTACATTACTCTAATCTTTCAGAAGACCACAAACATCAACTTCTTTTACCCAAAAGACATCATTTCACTGAATTACTCATAGATTATTATCACAAAAAATCTCTTCATTCGGGCGTTCAAACAACACTTTCTCGTGTTAGACGATTATACTGGATACCTTCCGGACAAGATAGAGTTAGACGCGTTATAACTAAATGCATGATGTGCTTTCGAACAAGGAACCAAACCATAAAGCAAATGATGGGAGACTTACCTAGAGATAGAGTTGTAATAACTAAACCATTCGGAAAAATAGGACTGGACTTTGCAGGTCCAGTTATCGCCAAGCCTAATTTGAAAAGATCTAGAGTTACGCTAAAATCATACATCGCGATATTTATTTATTTAGACTATTCATCTAGAAGTAGTATCGGATTTGTCTACTGAAGCATTTCTAGCATGCTTTAGAAGGTTTATTGCCAGACGATCTAAACCATCCATTGTTTGGAGTGATAACGCTACGAACTTCAATGGAACGAAGAATGTTCTTGACAAACTCTTTAGAATTTGTAGATCGGATCCTGTTCAGTGCTTTAGTTCCGAAGAAGGTATAACATGGAGATTTACTCCTCCTTCTTCCCGCATTTTGGCGGATTATGGAGGCTAATATAAAACAATGAAGAGAATTTTGACAAGGTCGTGAAAACGACAATTGAACTTTGAAGAGCTGTATACATTAATTACACAATAGAAGCCTGCTTGAACTCTCAACCTCTATCACCTATTCGGCTGATCCAACAGATCTTCAGCCTTTGACTCCAGGTCATTTCCTAATAGGAGCTCCACTTTTGTCGATACCAGAACCGAATGATTCTGTAGATTTTTTGACCTTGTCTTCTAGATGGACCTTAATTCAAAAACTTAGAGCTAATTTCTGGAACCGTTGGAGCGTCGAATATCTTAATCATTTGCAGAACCGCTCAAAATGGAATCAAGTGAGAGATCCAATCTCAAGGCAGGACAACTAGTATTGTTAAAGGATAAAAACAAGTCACCCATGAAGTGGACACTAGCTCGCATCGAGGAAACCTTTCCTGGTTCAGATGGCCTAGTACGAGTCGTAGACATCAGAACTTCAGGTGGAATTTTTCGTCGAGCCGTCTCCAATATCAGCCCACTCCCATTTCCAAATGATGTTGGACAATCGTCCAACGGGGGCCGGGATGTTCCGGTTTGACTAGAAACTTTCACTGTGCCGATGTTCCGGTTTGATTAGAAGCAAACTTTTCTCTGCCTCAGAATGGCAACAGTGAGAACTTGACTTCAGATTTGTTATGACGCAGCTAGAACGCTGCTCCTGAGATTTAACATTAGATTCGATTCTAGATGAGATTAATTTTAATATTTTAATAAATCCTTTTAAAACTAGATTGAGTGTTTGATCATAGAATTATAGCTGAACCACCGCTTGCAGAAATTTAGATGTGGCATTTAGATACGTTGTTAGATGCGTAGGCAGCGAGCGACATTCGTGATTCGAATAGTGTACATTAGTGCGTACATAAACAAAATTTTAAAAAATTACTTTGAGTGATCTGTTTTCATTCAAGCTGAAGAAATTGTGATAATATCTTGCTGAACATTTCAGAAATTATTAATTTTTTAACATTATAGCTGTTTGTTTATTTTAATTAAGGTTGAATGTTTTCACTGGCATAATTGAGACCCTTTTCTGTTAATGCCCCCACTTACCACCAAGCATGAATATTGCCATGAAATTAACTAGATTGTAGCAATCTTAACACTATATAAAGTAATGTATATGCTTAATGTGCGCAATGTCAGTTTGTGAAATTCTGTGTTTTTTAAAGTGAAAACTCATCATTGTGTATTTGGTGCAAATGAAATTGTAATTCCATGTACATAGTGATTTGCTTTGGGGGAAAAAAAAAAAAAATTGCATCAGTTACAAATTTGGCAAAGAATGACTGTGAGCTTCAACAGAGATGCATAGAAATAGCCAGATTGATCTCCATTTTTAGCAATGTAAGCAGGCTGCAACATTAGGTGATAGCCACCCTGTTAGCTAAAAAACATTAGATTTGATTATATTGTATTTCTAAATAAGATTTTAGTTTATATGTATTTCTTATTATTCATTTTTATTGCAGAGAAAAACAACTTGTCTTTTATTGAAACATCTGCTTTGGATACAACAAATGTAGAAGCTGCTTTTCAACAAATTTTAACTGGTATGAATTTTAAATATGAAATTATGTAATTGCTGAAAAATTGTTGAAATTTCGCTTGTGACTCTTTGCAATAAATTAAATTTTTCTTTTTTAGAAATCTATCGTATAATATCCCAGAAGCAAATTCGAAATGATGCAGACAATGATCCGTCACCTGGTGGTGAGAATATTAAGCCTATTAGCATTCCGCCTACAGACAGTCCAGACATGCGCAAGAAACCTTGTTGTCAAGCATAGGAACTTTATCAATCGGCCTACATACATATAATGTGCACTTGTTTATTATTAAAAGTTATCTTAACTGTTGTGGCCAAAAGGAAAGATGAAAAAACATGAAAGCCTGCACCCTTTATAATTTCTTTTCTCCTAAGTCTGTGGTCATATAATTTTTGTGTAATACAAGCTTTACAACAAAATAAAATTGTACAATTTCGGACTTAAAAAGTAAAATCCTGTTCACTTGGGAAAAAAAAAAAAAAAAAACGGGTGCATGCAACCTTACATTTAGAAAAAATTATTGAAATGTATTTGCGCAGTACTCTAGCTGAGCCTTAGAGTACAGTTATGATATAATATTTATGTATAATTATATTCATGGTGCATAGTGGCTTGTAAAATCTGTAGCTTTATGTTAGGGCGTCATGTGTAATTTCCCATGTACAGTTATACTTTTGTATTACATTATTATTCTTGTATTTGCAAGTCAAAACAAGCAATATGAAAGGTTACATTGCGTCCCAAGGTTGCATGCTTCTGTATTGAAAAGTACTCTGGCTGTGTAGCATTTGTATACATAGTTATGTGTTTATACATTTTAGACTTCTTGCAATTCACATTTCCATCTTGGTCAAATTATAAGAATGTTTATTCAGCAAGTAAAATATTTTGCAGATTCACATTTTTAGCTGGTTTTGTCTTTATAGATCGAGTAGCATTTTATTATCAGTTTGATTTTGAACATAATAAATTAACAGCCTTTGTCAAAAAAGTGAAATCATGTACATTAATGTTGAGACATTTAATGTTATCTGCTGTTCTGAGTTCCTTCTTTAACAATTTAAAATTTTAAAAATTAAAAGATTTTTGTAGTTTCTAAATGTTTTCTGAAATCTAAATTTTAAATTGCTATGCTGTGAAGTTTTTAATTTTTGTTTGTGGAGTAGTCAAATTTCTCATCAAACATTGTTATAACATAGCTGTGGTTCTCACATTTTGTGCTGTGTATTTTTTTATAAAATGATTGAATAAGCAGTATGTTATCTGTTTTAAACCTCTCGTACACATTGAGCTCTGCACTGGTTGCAGCTGCATAAAATATCAGTCATTATGAGTGAAGCTTAAATAGAATTATTTTATCTGTACAAAAACTTATATTTTTCTGTTTACAGTTTAATTCATTAAAGTTCTGTATAATTTTAAATATTGTTTTCCCTCCCAGTTAAATTATTTTGACATTTTCAAATTTTATCTGCTTTAATAATTCAAAAATTAGCTTCTAATTTATAATGATACTGAATTTTTATAGCTGCATAAATTGCCTTTGATGTTATCATGACATGCCATAACATTAGTTGATATTAAAGCATCACTCAGTATTTGGGAGAATAAAATATAAATCTGATTTTTTGCTTGTTTTTTCTTGTTTCATTTATATGTTTACTGAATAAAATAATTATTTATTTCCTTACGAGATATTGAATATATTTTGTGAATATAAAATCTAAATAACATCTATTTAATCCATTAGTTAAAGAACTGTGTTCAGTATTTTAATTAAAATATTGAATGATAAAATACTAAAAATTGTCTCAGGTAGAATAAGTGGTTTCCTTTTTGTAATTTCAAAATTTCAGGTAAATAAGTGAAATCTGTTTTATTGTAAACAGAAATTTGGCACAAAATATAAATTTTTGTTAAAAGTTGTTTTGTTAAAAGGAAATGTATAATTATAAATGTTAAAAAATTATAACTTAAAAAAATGAAGCTGTTTCCATCTATGATATCTTAATAAATTGTTTTAATAAAATAGTAATCAAATTATGCAAAACTTTAAATTTCTGTTGAGAACTCTAAAGTTAATGTTTGTAACTTATCATTATCAGAGTTAGAAACAGATAATAAATTGTATAATTTAAAGATCTTCGTTCATGATAAATGCATTTCTTCATGATTACATTGAGAACATTTTTTATAATTAGTAATACGAAATTAAAGAATATTAATGAAATATAAAAAGTATACTATTTAAAATAGTTTCAGGTATCTATGTAAACATTAAAATGGATATTAATGAAATATAAAAAGTATATTTAAAATTTTGGGCGTCATAATTACATAACTGTGTAAAGATTATTTAAAGTGAAAATTAAATCAGTTCATTAGGACTGTTTTTCTAAATATAATCTGAACAAATTAAATCTACATTTCCTAATACAGAACAAAGTCTGTAATCTGGAATGATCTATAATCCAGACCTCAAAGCCACAAACTTTTTTTTGTATGCTTTACCCATACGCGTAATGCGTTTACGCATGTGCATTGAAAAGATGTGTCTCCAGATACATTAAAAAGTGCTTGACATAATTTATGGTTAAGCTACCATATTCATGGTGAGGGCGATGAAGATGATAGCCGCAAATTTGATGGTTTTCGGGCATTCCAAGCCAAAGGTGAAATTTTCCAGTTATTGGATTTTGTAAAGAAATGTGGAGAAGCGGTAATAAATGAAGATATGATATAACAGAAGTTTTTCGTTGCAAGGACAATGCCCCAATCATCAATCAACGGACAATGAAATCTGTAGTATGGTTCTAGATCCAGAAAATACCGCTTCCGATAGTGAAGAAAGTGACACAGAGGTTATTGAAAACTAAAAAATTTCGATTGACAAGTTAGTCGGTATTCTCGACACAGCAATTATAGGACTTGAATGAACAGTGAAACTTCGTAACTGAACAAGAAAATTCTGTCTGTTTATAGAATTAAAGAGAAAGTATTAGCACAAAAAACGAAGCAACTTAAACAGCTTACATTGAAAGAAATGTTTAATAAAGTAAACAAATAAGTATTCTTTTTTTAAAATTTTGATACCCTTTAGATCATAATTGCTCTTTATTTCATAAATTATGGTTTCATATTTTTAATGGTATTTCTGCATGCCATCTTGCCAGATTTAAATTGATGATCTATAATCCGGAGAAACCCCTAATCCGGAATCGCTGAAGTCCCGACGAGTCTGGTGTACTGTACTGATTGATGGCCGAGTGATAATTTGTAGCGAAGAAATCGTGAATACTTATGGAAAATCTTTTGCTAGTGTATCAAGTAGTAGTAATTATTCCACATAATTTCTATCCTATAAGTCTCTTTCTATCCTTACAGAAAATAAAGGAACTGCATTTAACTCTTCCAACCTAGAAATTTATAATACGTATTTTACGATGCTTGAATTGAGGTGGTGTTCAAAACTGGCAAAACAAGTCCAAGTCCTGATGGCATAAGCTATGAGATGGTAAAACATCTCCCTTCTTAAAAAATCATTAGCAGCCCTCCTTGTACTATATAATAGAAGATACGGGAAACAGGTTTTCTCAGATGCATGGTGAAGAGCTAGAGTAATTCTTATAACAAAGCCAGGGCTAGATCCTAAGAATCCCACTAACTATCATCCCATTGCTCTGACCAGCAGAAAAGTTCTTGAAAACATAGTAAACTACCACTTAGTCCACTACTTAGGAGAAAATTATCTATAATCACTATATCAGAATGGTTTCTGAAAAGGAAGATCAAGTATAGATAATATTGTGACCCTTGAAATGGCTGTACAAAATGCTTTTGTGAAAAGAAACTTGGTGTCCATCTTCTTTGATATGGAAAAAGCATATGACAGAACTTGGAGATATGGAATACTTTGTGATTTACGACATTGGATTACGTGGATGGTTACCAGTTTTCATGCAGAATTTTTTAATGGAAGTAGTTTCCAAATGCAGATCGACTCTGCTGTCAAATGGGTTTATCTAAGAGGAAGTTGTGCCCCAACGGTGCATTTTGTGTCACTCTTTAATTTAAAAATGAATTCTATTCTTAATGAACTTCCAAAACCAGTTCTTGGCACATTATATGCTGATGATCATCAGATTAGTTGTCAAGGCTCGGGCATCATTGTATTCAGAGACAACTAACAGGTTTGTTTAAACAAAATTGCTAAATAGGCCAATAGAAATGGATTCAAGTTCTCAAATTAAAAGACAATACATGTACGTTTTTGCCGAAAAAGAAACCTACACCCAGAACCAGAGCTCTTCTTAGTTTCTTGTCTCGGGTATTAAACCTGAGGAAGTGCCTTAAAAAATTAAATATTCTGAAGGTTTTACCAAATACCTCTTGGGGTGCGCTGGGAAAAAGCATAAATTTTCTTGGAGTTTTCAGGTTTTATTAGGAAAGCTACACTGTATCACTAGGGTTTGTGGTTTTCACATATTTTATTTAAAAACTTAAAATAATAAATGAATATTTTTACAATGGTTCTCATGAAGACTAAGCAGTCCGTAACAGGTTAATCATATTTCTGTAGAATATTAGTAGATTTTTAATTATACGTTTTATAGGTAAGAGTGTAGATTATATTGAAAACCCTACTTAAAAAGTTTACCCAGTTTGTAATAATACAAAGACAGTCTTTAAATGCTATTTGTAGGCATATATTCATCTGATGCACGAAACATAGATTAACTGTGAGGTATTCCACTACATAAAATTAATTTATATCAAAATTTATTAATGGCTTAGTTTGAAAGTTTGTTTGCAGTATTACATATGAGAAACTCAACTATGATTATTCCTAAACTAAAAGGAAGGGAATAATTTTCAAGATATGAAGGTAATGAATAAAAATTTACATTTTACTGGGTTTTAAATATGCTGACTGATGCTATGGGTAAAGGAGCACTAAAATACAATCTGTCTAGTAAGAGAAGAAAAGATTACAAAAGACTATTTTGCTTAATAGAAGACTAATTCTAACTGCAAAAAAATTTACTATGAAATATTTTTTAAAATTTATCTGTTGAAAGCAGTACTGCTTAAAAATATTTCAATTTTTTAAAACGGAATTAAACTATATTACAGTAAATATTAATATTGAGATTTGCATGTTTTTGATAATTTTAAATAATGCTACTTACAATGCAATAAGTATAATGTAATTTTTTATGCCAAGAAGTTTAAAGGCTTCCCTTGTAGGAATTAATTGATGTCAAAGAATCATTTGCATAACAGATCCATATTTATTTTACAAAGCCTTTAATGGTTTATGGATTTTGTATAATTTATAACTGATAGGCATTCATAACAATAGAAAGAATTGAAAAACATGTAAATGGTCCCATTAGTACAAGAATTAGCTAGATCATTAGTGGAAATACAATGATAATCTAGAACAGTACATCTCCAATATATTAAATGCAATAACACTTAAAGCTATTTTTACTCAAAAAATAGACTGAAAAATACAAAATCTGTTGTAAATTTCTTATCTATGAATATATTACATTGAATATAAAGAAGCACTGTTCTAAGTATCTGGTATCACAAGTTTAAAAACACAAATACTCCATTCGACAAAAAGAAAAAAAATTTTGATCATACAGTCCTTTTTTTTTTTACTTTAAAAAGTATAGAAATACACTACACATCAAACACATTAAATTTTCTATAAATGAAAAAAGAACATTTTCAAACTAGCAAAAAACAAACTTAACAGTAAATGCCCATTGTTTACAACAGGTAATTAATAATTACATAAAACATGCATTTTGGCACATTTTTAAAATATTTTTTTCATATATTTAATACAAAAATGTGACAAAAAAGCTTTCAGATCAATTTTAAAAAACACACTGACATTATATTTAAATCAAACCCTCTTAGATTATTAGATAAAAGATGCTCATACAATGAACATTTTATGAAGTACCATCTATATATCATAAGGTTCTATAACCATTGTCAAAGCATTTTAATAGCACTTGCGATGTTGAATTTATTTATAAAAATACAAAGCTCCAGCTACTGTGTAAACTATAGTAAATACAAGCTTGCTTTTTTTTTTTTTTTTTTTTTTTTAAAAGGTTTATAGTCTTGGTTATTTATAATTATTACTTTTTACAGTTTAAAATATTAAAGATATAATATTCTATACTAAAAGCCTTGACCTGTCAGATTCATAGGTCAAAAACTGAAATTTTATTTTATTTTGCAGAAGTTACAGAAATTAATTATCCCATTTGGGAAGGGAGGGAATTCAAATGTCTCCCTCATAGGTTTCTACAAACCCGAGTTTTAACCAAAATAGTTAAATACATTGAATGAATCAAAGCCTACAAATCAATCATTTGTAATTTATTTTAAATCAACATAAAAAAATTCTCACTGTACTAAAATAAATGTATTTCACAAATAATAACAGTGTATTTATGAGCAAAACTATTAGGTTGTAAAGTATTTCCTCACAAAATGATTGCTAAGTACTTAAATTTATGGTTTATGTTAGTTAAAATTTGTTTTATCATAAACATTCTCTGAAAATAAATAAGCTATTTAAAAAAATGAAGATAAATTATAAAAATTTTGCAGTACATCCCAACTGAATTTTTGACATCAATTAAAGTTAAGGAAAAAATCTTGCCATTAAAATATATTGTATTTTTGAAATAAACATTGCAGTTAAAATAGAACTTTTAGCTTTATTCTGAATGTATTAAAAGAGTAAGTTGAAGCTCACATGTGTAAAATGAGTCATTTTTTATTTCTACGAAAAGAAACTTGAGTGTGGTATTCTAAAACTGCTCTGTCTTCGATAAGTGAGCTGTTATTGTATATGTTGCTTTATCATTACAAAAAGAAATAGCAATATATTTAAACAGAAAGATTACATTTTTTTTCTCCTGCTAGAATAACTATATTACAATTTAGAATGCAACTATGGTTTGACACTTGTCATGAAATAAATAAATGTCATGAAACATCATGACAAGTGTTACTTGTCATTTCTTATTTTTATCTGGATTGTAATGGATGTTTATCTTTAACCTAGTAAATGAAACTGAATTATACATTTCAGTGTCCTGTAATTAAACTAATGAAACATAATATTAATTTTCATGAAATTTTCTGTTTTTTACAGAAGTTAGTATTTATAAGATTAAGCAGCATGGCAATCCAATAAATTTTAGGATAGTAATAATTCAAATTTTAAACAGAATCACAAAGGCATACATTCCAACAGATTAAAAAAATTAATTTAAATTCTAATTATATTCATAAAAAGCTAAAATTATTTTGGAATGGAAAGTTTTACTTTTATATTTTAAAATATTTTGTAAATTCAAGTAAAGGAATGCATTTTGTAAACATAAAAAGATCCCACAATAAAAATTATTGAAATTACATGCAATATAATTTATGAAAATGCTTCAGCTGTTTATATAAAATGTTTTTAACAACATCCTTTTATAACATATAAAAATCTCTAAACAAAGGAATAACATATACAGAGTATAAAATTTCTAGGGGGATGATGGAATGTTCCAATGTCTTTATATACAAATTTAAGCTTACTCGGTGCTTCAAAAGTACAAATTCTGTGAATTAAGAAGTATATCTACTACAAAAAATTATCTGAACAAAACCTTATTCAAAATTATTTTTACTAATTTTATTCCTTATGATGCATTTATTCAAGTAAGATGTTGAAATAAAATTGAATTATTTTTATTGTATACTTCTTGATATAGTAATTTTCTCAATGTAATCATTATTTGATTATAATAAGCCTAGAGAAAGATGCATAGTTTTAGTGTAGAAAATTAAAAGCTTTACATAATACATTGCAAATACTGAAATGAGAACTAATGTAACTACAGACATATACATAAAAACTTAATACTTTAGGATGAAAGGCAATCTTTTTCACTATTCTAAAAATAAAATGTGCGTAATGCAAACATAATTGCACACAAAAATTATAATGTTTGCCCCACTTAGTGTAAATGGAACTGGCACGCATATAAGGAAGGCAGGAAAAAAGTTCTAATGTTTAACCAATAAAACTTCATTAATGGTATTTTCAAAAGTAAATGAAAGTCAAAATACTGTTAATATATTACATCAGGCTCAGCAAAAATTCTTTGCATAAAACTTAATTTTTTTTTAAATGTCTTGATTGATCATTGCTCATTACACCACAAGCGATCGAGGAAAAATTCTCATTGCAATATAATCATTCACTACCTGAAAAGGAAGAACATTTTATAAAAAACAGAAGCTAAAAATAAACATGCATTTAATTTTGAATTCAAGAGCTCTAGAATTATATTAACATCTTGCTTTCATTGATATTTAGTGTGGCTCAAAAATAGATCAATACCCATAATCAGTTTTTGACTACCAAAGTGCAACTTTATTTTGATCTATGCAACATTTTTCTACTACCGGAATTGTTTGCGCTGTTTTTATTTTATATTCCTACTTTTATATTTAAAGAACTACTTTCGCTACTACTACTAATAGTTATAAAAGTTAATACATCAATATAAAGACAAAATTATTTACTAAAATACAGTTTAATTCTAGTACAGTCAAAAGTCTTTAATCCGGACTCGTCGGGACTTTGGCGATTCTGGATTAAATATCATCAGTTTAAATCTGGTAAGATGGCATGCAGAAATTATAAAATTAAAAATATGAAACCGTAATTTATGAAATAAAGAGCAATTATGATCTAAATGGTATAAAAAAATAAAAATAATAGAAGCTTAATATTTATTTGTTTACTTTATTAAACATTTCTTTTAATGTAAGTTGTTTAAAAGTTGCTTCGTTTTATGTGCTAATAATTTCTCTTTAATTCTATAAACAGACATAATTTCTTGTTCAGTTACAAAGTTCCACTGTTCAAGTCCTATAATTGCTGTGTCAATACCGACTAATTTGTCAATCGAAATTTTTTTGTTTCCAATAACCTCTCTGTCACTTTCTTCACTATCGGAAGCGGTACATCGAAACATGCTTTCGCTTTGTAGATGCTTCGGCAGCTCCAGAATCAGAAATTTTTTTTGACATAATCGAAAGTTCAAGCTTACTTTTTATAAAATTGCTCTAACAGTCTGAAAAAAATAATAAGCCAGATCCAATTAGAAGATTAAGGAACAACACAATCTGCAACATTAACTGAAATAGATAATTAGATAATTTTAGCCTAGCTTATACTGTCCGTTATACATTAAACGCGCATGCGTAAAGGTATTATTCGCATGCGTAAATGCATAATGCGTTTACGCATGCGCAGAAAGTTTGTTAAGGTCTGGATTAAAGACTTTTGACTGTATTAACAATAGCAATAATGTTCACATTTATATATATAAAAAGTTAAATTTGTATAAATATATATTAAAGTTTTCCTCTTCTGTCTTCAAAATTTAACCATTCAGCATATATATAATCCTAATTCCCACTATTTAATGATTTTACTGGCATTAACATGTCTAAGCGATCTTCTTTCAAATGATTTATTTGTTAATTTTTTATTGAATTCATTAAACAAAAACCTCAATCACAGCCAATGCTAGAAGCCAAAAATGTTCCACGATATCAAATAATTTTGAAAGTTCCGAATAGAAACATTACCAAATCTGAAAATTTTGTTATCCCTTTACATTTAATGTGTTCACACATGGCAAATTTAAAATCATTAGACTGTTACAGCCCAGCTGTTTTATCTCTTAATATGCTACTGTATTTTATGCATAATTTTTTGACTAGTTCTATGCCATAATTGAAACCACACATACTTAATGCTGTAAAATCAAATGCTGCCCATTCCTGTACTTTATTTTCAGAAATCTTTCATCTAAATGAGAACAAAGTAAATTTATAGAAATTAGCATAGAATTAGTGTAAATTTCAAAACATTTTTATACGCACTTTCCCCTCCCTCCCAAGAATTTTTCATTATATTACTCCAAGTAATGGTGCTGTAGTTAATTTATTGATTACGTTACTTGACAAAGAAACTACAGAACTACCTGTCTATGAGGAAGGATATCTTCATTGAGGATGTTTTAAGGCAAGCTGGCTCATATCCACATTATACATGAGGGAAAACCAACCATGCGGCTAACCTGTTTGCCAGGATTCGAACCTGGGCCGAATTACCAATGTTCCGCAACTTTATTGCTCGGTCACTTGTTTTTTAAGTTTGTTTATTTTACCTCATGAAACACATAAAGTGGAGTTAGATTATGCTGCTGAAATTTCTACACAGTGCTGAATGTTCTTCAAAAATGTAATTCATAATATGCATATTTATATGAAATTCAATATTTTTCAGTTTCTGTAAACAGTATTTTAAAACAGGGTTACTTACTCCATTTTCTTTAAAATATTTAATTAATAATTCATAATTTTTAATTATATTGCTTTCAGTGCAAAATTTCTAAATAACTACCTAACTTCTTTTGATGGTTTAAAGGTAATAGCTTCATTTCAGTCTCAATACCTTGAAATGAATCTCAATTTCTTGCAGATCTAGAATATACATTGTATATTTTTCTCATCAAAATTTCAATATTCTTCATTAATTTAACTTCTTTCGATTGGTTTGGTTTACTTAATTACAGCAAAGCACTCGAGAGCTATCTGCCTAAAGGTCACAGTCATTTCGTATACATATTTTCATTTGCATGTATTTTAAAAAAAATTATATTCATTAAAAATGAAATGACGAATTCAAACAATAGGAAACAGAATATATTAACTATTAAAATGAAAAAATATATTACAGTAAAAGCTCAACTATTCAGAAAGCTCAGGAAATGCCAAATTTTTGATAACTGTGTGCATAATAAATAGCTTTCATGTTAGAAAAGCTGAATGAATGGCGAAAATTACCACTTTAAAATTATAAAAACATTCATCTCATTTGCTTGAATATAAAAAGCTTACATTTAAAATTATATAAGATTAAAAAAAATGCACTTCAGACCTAAAAGCCTACACATTTCACAGGTCTTAAGCATATTTAATCCGATTATCAAAACATGAAAGTTGGCAGAGATGTCACTAATCATTTCAGTCAAAGTTTAAATAAAGAAACACAAATTATGGATATAATATATAAAACATTAAATAACTCATCTTAAGTTTTATATCGATCATTACATCAACATCGTTTATCTGCTTTCTAAGCCGCCTATCTTTGCTTTTTTTATGCTTGAATCCTGTAATTTAAACTACTCCACTTCATGCACTATCCCAAATATTGATTTTTTTTCAAAACTTAAATGTTTCCTTATAAAATTAAATTTCCTTATTGTGAATTAACCAACTTTACATTAAAACAAAATGAACTTCTTATGACTGTGTTGTGTGCTTATCCAGTAATGACTCTAAATCACACTGTTTGGTGATAATGTATGCATGTTAATAGTACAACACGCTCTATAATGGCATTATAAATTTCCCATTTACTACAATTTTTTTTTGGGGGGGGGACTTTTCTAAAACACTTTGGTTACTTGAGCTTTCTGGTTAGTTAAATGCCAGATACTCAGGCTTTTACTGTAATAACACTTTAAGATGTTATTTTAAAACAAGGATTAAAATCAGAAATTGCTGATTTTCAAATAAAAAAATGTTTATTAAATATTCGTAGACAAATTGTATACACATTTTAAATCCAATTTACAAACAATAAATGCTATTTCATATGCTTTTCAAATACCATATTATTCCAGCATGTAATGCACACCTATAATTTCAAACTACATTTTTTAATTTTTAGTTATATTCACCATGTAATACACACTTTTCTTTACGAGGAAACCTGAAAGATACATGTGCAATGCTCTTATCTTTTGAAGTCATTGATTAAGATTTTCCCCATGCTTTTGAGCAATGGTATATTGAATTGACAAGTGATAAAGGGAACAATATATGTGGAGGGTAATTGTTTGAGGGAGTTTAATAGTTCTGGAAAGAGGATAGGTTGCATTCAATGCAGCTGGGCACAAGAATGTTAATCTAGGATTTCGAGAAAAGAAGGGCATAATTTGGGGTAAGAATGCACTTCCTGAATGAATTTGCAGAACTAGGAGTCGTATGTTTTCTCTTTCTATAGTTGTTTGAAGCCATGATTTTTAAGTACACATTGAAGGCTTTACTAAATCACAATTGCCTTAGTTGAACTACAGTAGATTTAGTGTTCTTTTCAGTAGTAAATATGACATCTGTTACATGAAACAGACAGAGTGCTGGTTTCAAATGCAGTCATTCAGTTTGTGAGAGAAACGGAAGTCGTGCTGCAGCAAGATATTTGGTGTTGGTGAAAGCTCCATACGCGACTGGAAGAAAACAGAAATAGCAATAATTAATATGCCAAAGAATAAATTTGCTTTGGGTAAAGAAGTAACAAAATTGTTTATCCTAGAAGAAAGTGTTGTAAACTAGGAACTAGAAAACTAGCAGAATGGATTAATTGTAACATGAAACAGCATACATTTATTTGCCTTAAAGAGGGGGGGGGAAGAATGCAAATGAAAATAAAAACTTTAAAGCAACTTTTAGTTAGTGTAGTTAATTTGTGACACAGAATAATTTAGTTCTATGGGAAAAAAAAAGTTTCACAAAGGCTTCTGAAAGAGTTTCCAGAAGTATGTTATTGACCTGCACAGGCAAATAAATTATTTATTGTCACATATTGGGAATATGGATGAAACTCTAGTAATTTTAGATATGATGAGAAATAAAACAATTGATGTAAAAGGGACAAAAACAGTTAAAATAAAAACAACAGGTCAACAGATCATCAGCATTAGATTCATAAGATTATGGCAAAGCACACTAGCACTTATGTGTAAGAGGAGACATGCTTTCCTGGAGGATTTTCTATCAGAAACTGGCTTGTATTTGCTTTACATATGGGAAAAAACTAATACTATACAAATGCAGAATGGAAAATGCCAATTTATTCAGAAGTTCAAACACAGTTTCAAATATAATTTAAAATATATATGTTAATATACTTTGTTTTACATTTTTTTGACTGCATATTTTTCTTGCTGAAAAATTTACGCTTACTGAAACTGCAAGCTAATAAAATTTCATCAAATTAAATAATTTATCGGAATAATATCAGGTCAATCCATTAGTTCATGCTTATTAAGAGTATGTGTGGAATTCACTATGACACATTTAATAAAACAATACAATTTTGAACCTGGTGAAACTTGTCATAGCTTGACTAACATATTATTCAGTTCATATACTTTCGTAAATATCGAATGCATTTTAGTACCCATAGAAGATGAATATGTAGATAATCAGTACAAACGTGCTGTGCTACATTTTTTATTTTCATGTGGTGAATCTGCCAGGTTTGCAGCTATAAAAATTAATAGTGTACATGGTGAACACACTATTAGTGTAAGGACTGCCCAGAAATGGTTTAAAAATTTTAAAGTTGGAAAAAGCAGCATTAATGATGAACCCCATTCAAGACATTTTGAACTGTTAGAACCAAATCAAATGATTAATTCAGAAGTTTATAGTGAACAACTTTGCCATCTAAACTCAGAATTGATCAAAAAACGTCCATGACTGGTGAATATCAAGAAAGTGCTGTTTCATGATGATAACGCTAGATCACATACGGCTTGAACAATGCTGCAAAAAATTAGTGAATTTAATTGGGAGCTTTTGCCACATCCTGCTTACTCCCCAGATATTGCCCCAAGTGATTTTTACTTATTTTGTGCCTTACAAAATTTTTTTACTGGAAAAAAAAATTAAATTCTAAACAGGATGTACAGAATGAACTTTTTTGCATCAAAACCAGTCTTTCTACAGCACTGGCATAAAAAAGGTGCCTGTAAGATGGCGAGACATTGTAGATAATGGAGGAAAATATATAATTGATTAAAATGTTAAATTGTGTTTTTTTATATTATTTAAAAATTTACCAAAAAATGTGATACAACAGATACAATATACAATGGACGTCCAGAAAGTAAGTTCCGTTTGGTAACAGAAGTAAATTGTGTACAGCTACAGAAAAGTTATTTATTGCACAAAATTCAACAACTCAAACTACTTTTCCACATATTGCCACCACTTCCAAATGCCGAAATATTGCAGGCATTTGTCACAGCGTGGCACAAGTTTTTGTATACCTTCTTCATAGAAATTTGCCGCCTGTGTCTTCAACCTGTTGGAAACAGTTTCTTTCAGCTCATCGTCATTGTTGAAATATTGAACGCCAAGGAAAGACTTAAGATGTAAGAACAGATGAAAGTCGCTAGGAGCGAAGTCAGGGCTGTACGGAGGATGGTCAAACACGTCCCAGCCAAATCCCTGTAGGAGGTTTTTCGTCACATTTGCAGTGTGTGGTCGTGCGTTGTCGTGAAGAAAAACAACACCTTTTGACAGCAATCCTCGGCGCTTATTCTGTATTGCACGGCGCAATTTCCGAAGTGTCTCGCAATAAGCATCTGCTCTGATTGTTTGACCACGCGGTAAGAAATCAATGAGTAAGATGCCTTTCCAGTCCCAGAACACTGTGCACATCATTTTTCGAGGTGTCAAGATTTGCTTCGGCTTAACCTTTGCTGGGGATGAAGTGTGCCTCCATTCCATTGATTGCCGCTTACTTTCAGGGGTGTCGTAAGAAACCCAAGTTTCATCTCCTGTGACTATCTGTGTCAGAAATTCTTCGCCGCTTTCAGCATAACGGGTCAAAAACTGAAGTGCACTACCCATCCGTTTTGTTTTGTGTTGCTCAGTAAGAATCTTTGGTACCCAACGTGAGCAAAGTTTACGAAATTTCAGTTTTTCGGTAACAATTTCATGCATTAGTGATCGTGAAATTTGGGGAAATTCCATAGCGAGAGCACTAATTGTAAACCTTCGGTTTTCATGGATCTTGTCATCAATCGCGTGAACCAGTTCTTCTGTAACCAAAGATGGACGCCCACTTTGTTCTTCATCGTGCACATCACTACGTCCGTCATTGAACTTTCGGACCCATCTTCTCACCATTGAATCACTCATCGCTTTTGGTCCGTAAACATCGCAAATTTGCCGATAAATTTCACTAGGTTTCACTTTCCTTGCATTCAGAAAACGAATCACAGATCTGATTTCACAGGATCTGATCACACAACGGCAGGATTTTCAATCAACACCGACATTGTAAACAAGCACAACAAAGTGTACGTGACTGACAGCGATCTCCAAATGGCGCGCGTTTCTTCTCCTTGATACAGAGCGTCTACTGCGCATGTGAGGAAATGCGATCACAGAGATGCAGCGGAGATAAATTGAAACGGAACTTACTTTCTGGACGTGCCTCGTTTATTTTAAATATGTCTTCACGATGTACCAGATTATAGCTTACCAGATTTATGTTTTATAGCTTACCAGATTTATGTTTCACACGCAATCCTATTTGGTATAATGGTTAGCATTGCAGGTTACTATATCACAGGGTCTAGGTTTGAAACTCAGAATAGGCTTTAATGTTTGTAAGTGTCATAGTGTGGTATTGAGTGTATATTGAGGGTACTGAGTGTATATTGTATTTGTAAGTGTTATAGTGTGGTATTGACAATACACTTTAATATTTGTAAGTGTTATAGTGTGGTATTGAGAGGCATTCTTAAAATACATGGCAAGTTCAAAGTCTCTCCAAAGTTCAACTCCTCGAAGTGGTTTGGTGACAGGGGATGAAGGGTAGGAGACCCTCGTCCCTGATGCTAGGATTCCGCATTGAAACTGCGATAGAAATGAGCAAAGTCATACTATCATGTATAAGGTGTCCAAGGCCCATGTTAAGGACAGATAAAATCCTGTGCTTCTTGCCACAATAAATTTGTAGTCTTGTTCTGATGTTGCTGTCAAAGAACTGAAATAAATCATGACCACAAGTTTCATACTACAGTACAAAGTCCGTAATGCGGACATCCATTATCCGGAATGATCTATAATCCGGACCTCAAAGCCACAAACTTTTTTTTTTTGTATGCTTTACGCATGCATGTTTAATGTATAATGGATGGTATAAGCTAGGCTAAAATTATCTTTACTGATTCTAAGGCATTTCAGTTAATGTTGTAGATTGCACTGTTCCTTAATCTTCTAATTGGATCCGGCTTATTATATTTTGCAGACTTATAGAGCAATCTTATAAAAATTAAGCTTGAACTTTCGATTATGTCAAAAAGAGTTTCCAATTCTGAGCTGCCAAAGGATCTACAAAGTGAAAGCATGTTTCGATGTACCCCTTCCGATAGTGAAGAAAATGACAGAGAGGAAAACGAAAAAATTTCGATTCACAAGTTAGTCAGTATTCTCAACACAGCAATTACAGGACTCGAACAGTGGAACTGAACAAGAAATTATGTCTGTTTATAGAATTAAAGAGAAAGCATTAGCACAAAAAACGAAGCAACGTAAACAACTTACATTGAAAGAAATGTTTAATAAAGTAAACAAATAAATATTAAGCTTTTTTTTTTTTTTTTTTTTTTTTTTTTTTTGTAAATTTTGATACCCTTTAGATCATAATTGCTCTTTATTTCATAAATTATGGTTTCATATTTTTAATTGTATAATTTCTGCATGCCATCTTACCAGATTTAAATTGATGATCTATAATCCGGAAAAAACCCTAATTTAGAATACCCGAAGACCCGACGAGTCCGGATTACGGACTTTGTACTGTATACAGAATTGATCCCAAAATATGCTAAATTTTCTAATAATTTTATTTCATTAACAACATTTTCATTCTTGGTATGTGTGCTCATTTCAGAGAAATTATTGAAACAAACATAGGTACAAAATTCTTACCTCCTGTACTTTTTCTTTTGTTAAGTTTGGAACCATATAAGTAAAACCAGTAGCTTCAAATTTACTTCCATCTAGGTTTAAATGCTTATCATATAACAACTCCTGTAATAAAAATGTACAAAAATTAGATAAGTAGCATCTATTATATTTACCACAATAAACTATTTTTGGATTGTATTATTTTAAATATTGAAACTTATAGTTCAATAACAAATAATACAGTAAAATCAAATCATACAAGACCTTTTTTTTGTTCAAACATATCAATGTATGGATATCACAAAACCTATTACAAGGTTATCCTATCTAATATTGTGAAGGAAACGTAAATGCAATCTTAAAACTTTTCAATTGGGTCTTATAGAAGATGCTTCACAAAATTACATTTTTTAATATTAAACTTCTAATGTATGAATAGAAAAAAAATATGATAGTCTATAATTTTATACTGCAGAATAATCATTTCAGTTTTGTTATGGATGTTAAAAATATCCATAATATCACCCAAACGTGACATTATGGATATTTTTTTTTAACATGCATTACAATTTTTTAAGGAAATTTAATTTCTCTAATTTTAAAATGCACATTACACAAATATAAAATACATTTTTATTAATACCTAATGTGCACATATATAGATTACTAAATATTCTATCAGCTGCTAAATCAATTTTCTTCTTAAAAATATAAGGTACAGTTTTAATACACATTATCAATTAAATGAATTTTCACTTCTTATTTCAAAATTTATCTGTGGATAAACAAATGAACCATACATGCATTGCATTTTTATAACCACTTACTTGGTGAAGATATGGATTAAGAGGTGTGTTCTCAATACCATCTTTTGAGCAAGCTTCAGCCCAAGGTCCTAAATGTTTGTCATTGATATCATCTACTAATGTTGACATATCTACCTAATATTTTATAATAGCATTTGATTACTTAAAAATGTATTATTTTATGAATATAAAAAGAATGAAAAAATAATAAAATTAAAAAAAAAAGAAGAGTAACTTAAAAATCATTTAAATAATTGATTGTAATATAAAATATATAACTTAATATTACAGCAAAAAATAGCAGTTACCTTGGCAAGAGTTGACATAGTCGTTCCAAAATAATCGTGATTAATATTAAATATGTCTGAGACAATATCACTTATTTTTCCTTGAGCTACATAAAAATAAATAACTGATCACAATGTTGTATGGGAACAACAAAAATAAATATTTAAATTTAAGAAATTATAATATATTAAAGTATATCATAAAACTTACTTGTATCACCTTTATCTACTATGTGATAAATTTCACCTGATTTCCCATGCAAACAAGCATGCCATATAGCTCTACTCATATCACACACATGAACTGTATTCATTTTTATGTCTTTGTGCCACAAGAGCTAAGACAAAAATATAATGAATAATTAAAAATTAAATTATTAGGAAATTCTTCATTGAAAATTATATATAAATCCCAAATAATTGTATAATTTCACATACAGTTCTCGAAACAGTACGTTTCTGCAAATAACAGAGCATTTACACTTTCATAGGACAATGCAACCCCGTGTTCTTAACATATTATTTATGATGAAAAATCTTATTTTGTTTAGTTTATCAAATGCACATTTATTAAACAGATTACATAAAGTACTCATAATAAATTTAATTTTATATAGTCATCTACTTACTATTTCATGTTTATTTAATTTGTTTTTTTGGGTGGAAGGAAGTATTTTTAATAAGTATGCTGGGTTAAAAAAAATATTTACTTTCTATTATTTAAAAATTTCAGTTTATCAGCAAAAGAAAAAAAATTTTTAGACATGTATTTTAGATTTCAGATGTGACAGCAAAAACAAATCTGAAATTGGCACCATAGTGGGATACAATGGGAGTGAGTTAATTTCAACAGTTGCTTTAATTCTTTGCAGATAAGAGAAAAAAAAAAAAAAAAAAAAGACTTGCGTAATTATGAAAATGGTACATCACCTTACACATAGTGACTATTCACTGCGGATTAATAAAGTCTGTACATACAGAAAAGGTTTAACGTGATTTCAGCTCAGAAGCCACACTGAGAAACTGATATTCAAAAGTGAGTTGCCATGCATAGTTCAAATAACACACTTTCATCTTACCATGTTATTTTGCTTTGTTGTTCTATACATTTGTTAATTTGTTATTAATGATTTGCAGCTACATTTTTTCATTCTCTATTGTCCAGTAAAAGCAATATTAAATGTATCTTGCTAATTCTATTATAAATATATTCTAGAACTTTTTTGTGACATAAATGGAAGTTTATAAAGGAAACAAGTTTAAACATTCAATGTAAATTTTTACCAATTAAAATTTACATAATTGCATTTCTGAGCTCTTATATTTTTATCTCAAATAATATTTCCATGACCATTCTCTTATTTCAGTATTATGAAATAATGTTAAAAAAACTAAAAATTTAATTCCTTTAATTTACTTTCTTTTTCTGCAGATACTCACATATTTGTTCAGACAATACAAATCTCTTTTACAGTCAAAAGTCTTTAATCCGGACTCGTAGGGACTTCGGCGATTCCGGATTATCGATTTCTCCGGATTATAGATCATCAGTTTAAATCTGGTAAGATGGCATGCAGAAATTATAAAATTAAAAATATGAAACCGTAATTTATAAAATAATGAGCAATTATGATCTAAAGGGTATCAAAATTTACCAAAAAAAGAAGCCTAATATTTATTTGTTTACTTTATTAAACATTTCTTTCAACGCGCAGATGCGTAAAGCATACCTTACGCATAGCCGAAATTAGAAAATTGCAACCAGAAAACTATTTGATTTGTATTCGTGATATTTATAATGACGAGGAATTTGATTTAAATCATATCAAAGACGGAGTACATCGAAATTAAATACTACATTTAGTAAGGAATTATAAGCCGAATAAAAATAAAAACATCTGCCCTGAAGATAACGATAGTGTTGACAAATCAACTTCCAGTTCATTGCCCGCCGAGACGTCCCCCCCTCCCCCCAGCGCAGAGCAGCGTGAAATTGATAAACAGATTTCGGAATGGTTAGATAAACAAAGAATATGCCTTTATCCATTTTTGTAGCATTCGTTTTTTGTTTGATGGACATCGAAACATACTTTCGTTTGTAGATCCTTTGGAAGTTCCAGCATCGGAAATTCTATTTGACATAATCGAAAGTTCAAGCTTACTTTTATAAAATTGCTCTTACAGTCTGCAAAAAATAATAAGCCAGGATCCAATTCGAAGATTAAGGAACAACGCAATCATGCAACATTAACTGAAATAGATAATTAGATAATTTTAGCTTATACCGTCCGTTATATATTAAACGCGCACGCGAAAAACGTATTCTGCACTTGCGCGCAATATGCGCAGTCGAAAATGTCTTGCGCGCACGAGTAAACGCCTGTGCGCATGCGTCAATGCGGCGCATGCGCAGAAAGATTTTAGCTTTGAGGTCCGGATTATAGATCATTCCGGATTATGGGTGTCCGAATTAACGACTTTTGACTGTACTAAAGATATCTTAGAAACAAACAATAACTCATTACACTCATTTTATAACATTACAACTTAATTTATAATAAATTTCAGCATTTACTGGGAGGAAAAAATTGCATTATAAGGAAGCACCACTTATTATGAATTTTAAAATTTTCTTACCTTCATCATCTCTCCCAAATGTTTATAAACTGCTCCAACAACTAATCTGGGCACTAAATTAAAAATACATATATCGGTTAAAATATTCTACAGTATATTAAATATGTAGGTATAACAGAAAGTAAGGTTTTCTGTTTTATTTATTCCAAGGAATATATTATTCACATCATCAATAAATGGTCAGGACATCTCATAAAAGTTCAATTATTATTTATTATGTCTAGTACACTCAATGTGCATGCATTTACTACTGGTGAGCAAACAATCAAAGATGAAAGTGTGGCTAGTTGTTAATTTTTCGTGGACTAATTACTACTTAAATCTATCATGAAACCAGAGTATGATATAACACTCATGTTATTATAACACAACATGTAAAAAACATTTTAAATTTCAAAATGGATAAAGGAGAACTAATGATTCTTCTTCATTTATCAAAATAATTTTATCTTTCAGATGGTATATTATGGGATATCATTAATCAAGCATCTAAGCTATGGTAAGCTTAGCTGTAGGTGGTTCCTCAGACAATTGACAGAGGAACACAAGAAAATGAGCACAGTAGCTGCATTTCATCTTTAAAGGCATAAAAAATATGGTGAGAATTTTAGTCCAAAATCATTACAGATGATGAAACACAAAGGTTTTATTTCCCTGAAATTAAAGATGAATCAATGATAAGAAATAAACCTCGTTTTTTTGTTGCATAAAAATTTAAAGAATGACAAGCTCTGAAAATGTCATAGCAACATTATTTTCAGACCTGTATGGAATGCTTTTGATCAAATATGCTCCTCGTAGTGTAATAGTAAATGTAACTCCCTAAATTATTAAACCAAGAGGGCTACTTGTCACAAAAGAACAAGTTTACTGTTTCAAGTACTGTAGCTGCATAATAACACAAAGCAAAATGTACTTTGTGATGTCCCAAATTTCTTGGATTTCTCACAAAGAGAAATATTGCAACATTCTGCCTATAGTCAGGATTTGATACCTTTAGATTTTCATTTACTTTCTCAAACTCAAAAATCATCTTAGATGATAACATATTCCCCTTGATCATGTAATTAAAAGCAATTAGAGATTAGAATGTATGATTCTGCTACCAAGGCTTTAATTTCTTGATGGTGTGATAAATGCCTCAATAAGGAAGACAACTATAGATTAATAGACTGGGTGACATTTGTAATGGTTCACAATCTGCCATTGGGGGAGAGGAAATCTTAAAATAAAACAATATGGAACCTTACTTTATGATACCCCTTGGTATGTAAATTAATAAAAAATCGAAGCATTTACATATAATATAAAATTGATTAACCAGTTATTAAGCAATAATCTTGTTCAAATTATATAAATTAAAAGCTTCTATTATGTTAAAAAATACTAATAGTTGCAAAGAATTCAAAAAGAAAATTTTTTTAAATAAGTTAGTTTAAGAATACATGTAACATTTTAAACATTTAATATCATTAATTCTAACATTAAGGAACAGTCTGAATGCATGGAAAAAATGGTCTATTAACATGCAAAATTTTTATATTTTTTCTGGTACTCTTCTGTTAATCGGACATCATTTAGTACCAAACATTAATACTGGAGAAAAATCTAACTAAACAGCTCTGATTTTAGGACCCATACTATTGCATTTGTAGTTAAACTGCAAGTATTCATATCTGGCAGCTGCCAATTCATTCATTTAATGAGATGAACATTTTGGGGGGGAAAAAAAAAATTCTTGGACTGATTTTAATTCTTCTTGCTTATTTGCAATGATGTCGCTGCACAGCTATTCGTAATGCAATATAAACAGTCTACCCCATTTCGCATTTTAGTACACATTTGGAGAATGGCACCCTCTTAAGAGAAAAGTTCAATTTTTCTTTATTCTATATTTATTCTTTCTGTTTTAAGTTACTTACACAATGAATTTCTTTTTTAATAATCAACCATCTACTTCTATGAATAGCTAGGTTAAAATATGTGAAATTTAGTTACAAAAACAAAATACTCATAAAACGCTTAATTTCAAAAGCAGTAATTAACTATGCACAGATTTTCAGTTCTTATTTTATTACTAATTATACAAACTTTCAACCACTTTTCCCTTCAGAGCACTACCCCCATTTTTTTCCACTTCTGGAAGTATCATTGCTATTGCCCTCATTTCTTGCACTTTTGGAAATCCTACTGGAAATAAATTTTTTTGATGGAATGCAATATGGTCATCACATTTTCTCTATTGAATGAAAACAATGCCCTTTTGAAGTGGTTTTAAGTTAGGGAAAAGACAAAAAAGTCTGCTGAGATCAAGTCCAGAGAACCGGGTGAGAAGGGCACGAAAGAAGAGCAATGTTTTTGTGTTAGATTATTGGTAACAAAGAGTGATGCATGAGCTTGAGCACTGTTGTGATGCAGTGTCAAGAACTGACTCTCCCACACATTTCATGTCTCTTCCTATGCACAGCACCTTTCAAATATATTAGAGTTCTCTGGTAGATTTTTGTTGATCTTGTTTTTCAATTTGACCACATGGTACAAATTCACAATGTACTTTGAATACATTGGTCGTTCTTTAACATGAAAGGTCATCAAGTCCTTGGATCCTCATCAACCAAACTTCTGCCCTTCTTAAAATGTTGAAATCAATCACAGTGCAATGTTCAACTCTTGCAATTCTTTTTGTTTGTTCAGTTAAGCATTCAAAATGTTTCTGTGAAAGTTTACCCCAGTTCAGCACAAAATTTCACATAGATTGTGTTGTTACTTCAGCTTCTTCATTCTTGCTTTTTCACTAATCCGTCGAGCAGCATATGCCTAACCTCGCTCAAAAGGTATTACAGTCAAAAGTCGTTAATCCGGACTCGTCGGGACTTCGGCGATTCTGGATTATCGATTTTTCCGGATTATAGATCATCAGTTTAAATCTCGTAAGATGGCATGCAAAAATTCTAAAATTAAAAATATGAAACCGTAATTTATGAAATAAAGAACAATTATGATCTAAAGGGTATCAAAATTTGCAAAAAGAAAAAGCTTAATATTTATTTGTTTACTTTATTAAACATTTCTTTCAATGTAAGTTGTTTAAGTTTTGCTTCGTTTCATGTGATAATACTTTCTCTTTAATTCTATTAAACAGACATAATTTCTTGTTCAGTTACAAAGTTCCGCCGTTCAAGTCCTATAATTGCTGTGTCAAGAACACCGACTAATTTGTCAATCGAAATTTTTTTGTTTTCAATAACCTCTGTCACTTTTCTTCGCTATCGGAAGCGAATTATAATGACGAGGAACTTGTTTTAAATCATATCAAAGACGGAGCATACCGAGATGAAATACTACATTTGGTAAGGAATTATAAGCTAAATAAAATAAAAACATCTGCGCTGAAGATAAGGATAGTGCTGACAAATCAACTTCCAATTCATTACGCGCCCGCCGCCGAGCAGCGTGAAATTGATAAACAGATTTCGGATTTCAAAACATACTTTCGCTTTAGATCCTTTACATATTAACAAATATATATCGGAAATTCTATTTGATATAATCGAAAGTTTAAGCTTACTTTTATAAAATTGCTCTTACAGTCTGCAAAAAATAATAAGCCGGATGCAATTCGAAAATTAAGGAACAACGCAATCATCAACATTAACTGAAATAGATAATTATTTAGCTTATACGTCCATTATACATAAAATGCGAACGCGAAAACGTATTCTGCACTTGTGCACACTCATATGCGCAGTCATAAAAGGTCTTACGCGCACGCTGAATGCCTCTGCGCATGTGTCAACGCGGCGCATGCGCAGAAAGTTTTTAGTTTTGATGTCCGGATTATAGATCATTCCGAATTATGGGTGTCCGAATTAACGACTTTTGACTGTACTTGACAACAAACACATAGATTGAAACTCAGTATAAAGCAAGTATCTGTTAGTTGTGCATGGTGGCTTGAGAACCCCTGTGCAGTCACTGGTGCACAATTAAAAAAGTTCAGTCTTTTTTTTATATATATATTTTTTTTACAGTTTTCATACAATAAACTCTTACATGAGTCTTCAATTCTTGATAGTTTATATTAGCCATCTGCTTAGTCTGATAATATCACTACTTTGAAAAGGAACTATTCTATTCTGATAATTGAATACCATTAATATTTTCACCTGCTTCTGGAAGAGAAAACTTCCATGACAATATTCCTTGTAAATTCTTGCATTTTATGAAATACAAGAAAAAGTAAATTTACATGCAATTATTGAAACATATACTATCATTGAACTCAATAACATCTTCTCATGAAAAATTATTAATAATTATAAACATAAGAGCAATAAGATAATCCGATAGTTCTTAAGCAAAAAAAAAAATATTATTTACCTCTAAATAAATGACAAACAATGCAGACCCAAGAAAACTGAAATGTGTTCAATTTGGTTTAATAAGATTATCCATAGCTATAAATACTACTGACTTTTTTATTTATTTAAACTAGTATTTTGCTCTTTACAGATAATGTTAAAACACTTCTTATAACTTCTTATCATATGCAATTTTAAGTTTACAGTAATGATATGAACCAGAGCTTACTAAGGCCATGTTTATCACCAACTCCATAAACAATTGCAGGTCTCAGAACAACATAGTCAAGGCCCGATACAGTAGGAAGCTCTTCCTCTACCTGCAGTTTAAATCTCGCCATCACTGTCCAGGGATCAGGCTTTGCAGATTCTTTTATTGGGGTCTGTAAATGGAAAAAAAAATATCAAAACAGAAAAATTTTTTAAATTTTCAACTTTTGTTAAGAATTATGATAAAAAGACGTGAATGATAAAAAAAGCAAACTCGGGAAATTCAACAAGAATTTTAAACTCATTTAGAAATTAAATATTTCTTACAAATAATAATAAAATTACAAGCACAGCGTTCCCTTGTAAGTATAAATGATGCAAAAATAACTGCAGTGAAACTTCTCATGGTAACCCCCTCACAAAATAACCAGCATTTTAAAAACACTATTCAATAACAGTACAAGACAATTGGACGAATTTCTGAAACCAGGCAATGAATTAATTATTTAGCACATAATACCATACTTCAAACCCTTTACCTGAAACATACTCTTTAAAACACATACTATGCAAGCTTATAATTCCAAATATAAGCTAATCCATGCATAAAATAAGACATATTATTTAAGCACAAAAAGTCAGCTAATTAAAAATCTTTGTCTAAGGCAAATGATAAAATTTAATGCAGTAAACATCTTTAGCAGCTAGTTTCATGACACATGGCCAATAATGTATAGTGGATTCTAGATATCAAATTTGAAGGTTTTCAGATATCGTAAACAAAAAATTTCAATTAATGGAATTATTATTTAAGCACAAAAAGTCAGCTAATTGAAAATCTTTGTCTAAGCCAAATGATAAAATTTAATGCAGCAACACATCTTTAGCTGCTAGTTTCATGACACATGGCCAATAGTGTATAGTGGATTCTAGCTATCAAATTTGAAGGTTTTCAGATATCGTAAACACAAATTTTCAATTAATGGAATTTGTGAAAAAATTGCGGAGAAGTGGTAATAAATGAAGATGATATAACAGAAGTTTTCCATTGTGATGAGAATGCCACAATTATTAATAAACTAATGGATGGCTGAATCTGTAGTATGGTTCTAAATCCAGAAAAGTTCACTACCAATAGTGAAAAAAATAGCCAGAGATATTGCTGAGAATGAAAAAATTTTGATTGACAATTTAGTAAGAATTCACAGGACAGTAATTCAGAACTTGAACAGTGGAACTTAGTAACTGAATAAGAAACTATTTCTATCTATAAAATTAAAAGAAAATATTAGCACAGAAAATGAAGCAACTCAAACAATGTACACTGAAAGAAGTGTTTGCTAAAGCAAAATAAATAAATACTGAGCTCTTTTTTGCAAATTTGGATTGCCTTAAGGTCACAAGTGCTTCATTATTTCATACACAATTACTTCTTAGTTTTAATTTTGAAATTTCTGCATATCATCATATCAGATTTAAACTGATGATCTAAAATCAGGAACTGCCGAAAGCCTGATCAGTCAGGATTTTGGACTTTGTGCTGTATATACTGGAAGAAAAGTTTTTATAAAATATACACTATTTCACTGCTAAATGTGATATACAATAAACATAAATATGAAGGAATCATAAAAAAATAGTTCTCTTCAAATATAGTGCACATTTTTATAACATTAATTTTTCAAGAAAACTACAAATAAATAAATTTTATTTTTTTTCAGCAACACTCAACAAATGTACGAACAAAAATACTATACTGAAAAGCAATTAAAATTTCATAAACATTAAAATCTTACTTTTTCACTAGAATGAACGTGACCTGAAGATATTTCAATAAACCTAGATACTTTATTTTTTACCGCTTCTTTGGCACAGTTAATACTTAATTTCACAATTCCTTCTTTATATACCTAAATTTTATGAAAAACAAATTGCCTTTTTAATTACTCAGTTATGATGAGAAAATCTTCAGTCATATTTAATATCATTTTAAAAAATACAGAAACATAAATGCTGTAATAATATATAAAAAATTATTGCTGTAGAAAAGAATTTTCGTGGACAATACTGACAGTTACAAATAATTCCAGAATTATTATCTTTCCTTCAAATAATAAAATTTACCATATTATGATTTACAAAAATTCTTTATACTTTTAATATATTTTAATGAATTTATGGCATTTAAACACAGCATACAGCAAATATTTTAGATAGCATAAGAAAGAGATATGCATTAAAACACTTAACATAGTGCTTCAAAGAAGAAACAAAGGTTTACATATCAAAATCTTTTGGAAAAAGAATTTGGAAATGAATAATTTTGAAATGGCTACAGCATTAGTTACTACTTTCATTATATTATTAACTATCATAATTATATAAAACACACTGTAAAAATATAGAAGATGGTTTGTTTTACTCTGTTTCACTGATTTAAATATTGTAGGCTTCTATTCAATAATTAATTATAACATAACTCTGTTAGGTGATCAGCTGATTTTAATTTTTCGAGTATGAAATTGAGAATGACCTTCAGTTTGAAAGAAAAAACAGATACTTTTAGTGTAGAATTTATCATCTATCAGGTAACTATGCAAGAAGGAATTTCATTAAAAGAATTTTCCTCCCCAGAGAAGTTTTACAATCCCATTCCCCTAAACTTTAAAGTCTCTCCTTGGTACTCTAAGTTCATGCTGCTGCATATGGATGACCATATTCAGCACAGAGTGAAATTAACATAAGTGCTGTTATGGATGAGTAAGCAAAAAGCAAACTTTTTAACCAAAAAGCTGGTACTACTACACTTTGCAGGATATTATGTTAATTAACCAGTTATATTTGAAACTTTAATATAACTTCCTTCTTTCCCAGAATGACAATTATTTGTTGAGTATTCCTCAGAATGGAAATTATTAGTTAAGTATTTTTTGCAGTTAGAGCTTCTTACAGCCTTGCTTCTGGTTACGTACCATGACCAGCTTTGCTAAAGGTTATTCTGACTTTAGCCACCCTGCTGGCCACCACTGAAAGAATGCTGTTAATTATTTGAGCCAGCTTGAGTAGACTAGTTGTGTGTACCCTCAGACTAAGTCACTTGAATTTAACTTCATCTTATATTCTTTTAAACATCCACAAGTACCACAGTTACGTTTTGTATTATAAGTGGTGCCTTCTGTTAATTTAAAAAATTCAATAAAAAGATTATTGTAAATGTTAGTAAGACTTTGCCATCTAAATTTAATCTAGAGTGATAACCCACTTGTTAATATAGAAAGGTTTGAAGGACAGTGATTTAACTTTCTATATATATATATATAGAACTCTAAAAAATGAGATCTTAAATTTATCTACTCATTCTTTCAATCATACATTATGCAATTTTGGTAAATGACTGTAAAAAGTGGCCATAATGAATGGTTTTCATATTCAGCACATTGCATATCAAATATGTGATTGGCTTCTACCACTTGCAGAATATACATTCTTTCTATACCTTTTCATTAAATTCTGATTAATCTCTTGAATTTGATGTGTACATGTCAGATTTCAGATAACTCCAGAACCAGAAAACTATCAAAGTGAGGGTAGGGAATCATGGTAGCCACGAAATTGCAAAGTTAACGGAGATAACTCTATCTCCAAAGTGCTGCTTCAGCACTTCTCGAAAACATGAGGCAATGTCTGGAGGAGTATGATCTTTCATCTACACAATGTAATTAATGACATTTTGCTGCTGCAATTCTGGAATTGCATAATTCTGCAATTTTGTATACTGAGCATTTGTGATGCAGCACATTTCATACCTGTGGAAGTGTCCTCTTTGAAGATGTACAGATCGAGAAAGAAGTGCTTGGGATGCCGCACCACACAGTGACCACAGCTTTCTCTAAAGACATTGGAAACGCATCATGAGGATTTCCCTCAGCCCTTGAACGCAGTTCTTGGAGTTTACATTCTCAGTTAAGAGAAATGAGCCTCATCCATCCATAATATACACAGCAGCCATCTACTATCTTCATTATATCTGATGAGAAAATAATTTGCGAAGTTACCATGCTATTGTTCGTCTCCAGGTTGCAACATCTGGATGTGTTGGAAATGATAAAGAATCATTACAGAATAATACAGTGCAGAAGCTTGAAGACTGTAGTTTTCAGAACATCCAAACTGGGAAAAACACTTCTTGCAGTATGCATTGCACCTACAGTAATCACGTTATGCCTTTATGCCTTTCTGCTACAACTTCAACAGAAATACATGGTCATCTGGATTGCAGTCTATCACATAAGCATCCAGTTTCTTCAGAAATTTTTCTGGAACATGGTCCTTGTCTTAGTTTATAGTTTTGCTGATAAACTTGCACTGCTTCCCCATTCAGATAAAACAGTTTTATCAAGTCACCTGCAAGTATCATTTTGTTAGCACACTTTAACATTTGATTAAAGAAACAATCTTCCCGCATTGGTTATTAAACATTTTCCACAATCATTGTGTTCTGTGACTGATGCTTCTTCTGTCTATCCCTGTTAATTATGCAAAGTGCATCAATGCACCTCCTCCCTGTGTTTTCATTGGTCCTTTACAATGGTCATCTTTGAAGTTTTTTAATGCTGGCAATTTTCATCATAGTGTAGCATTCCAATGCTATTTACGGCTTTTTAGTATACTGATCAATTTGTGCAGAAAAAAGTGGATGTTACTATTCGAAAATTATTACCCACTTATTTTGAAAAGCGGGTAAATATAAAGTCCTTTTTTTGATTTAAGTTCTTGAAAAAGTACTATAAAAACAGAACTGACAAATGAGCTGACCAAAATAAATAAATACAGTCAAAAGTCATTAATTCGGACACCCATAATCCGGACCTCAAAGCTACAAACTTTCTTGGCATGCGTCGAGTTGACGCATGCGCGTAAGACCTTTATGGCTGCGAATTTGCGTGTGTGCGTGCGCAAAATATGTTTACAAATGCACGTTTAATGTATAACGGACGGCGTAAGTTAAGCTAAAATTATCTAATTATCTATTTCGTTTAATGTTGCAAATTGTGTTTTTCCTTAATCTTCGAATTGGTTCCTTAATCTTCGAATTGGATTATTAATTTTTGCAGACTGTTAGAGCAATTTTATAAAAGTAAGCTTGAACTTTCGATTATGTCAAATATAATTTCCGATTTATATTTACTAATAAGTAACGGATCTACAAAGCGAAAGAATGTTTCGGAGTCCATTAAACAAAAAGTGGAATTGCTGCAAAAAATGAATAAAGGCATATCCTTTGTTTATCTAAACTTTAACGTTTGTTTATCTAAACTTTGTTTATCTTTAATGTGGCGGGGCGCGCAATGAATTGGAAGTTGATCTGTCAGCACTATCCTTATCTTCAGGGCAGATGTTTTTATTTTATTTGGCTTATAATTGCTTACTAAATGTAGTATTTCATTTCGATGTACTCCGTCTTTGATATGATTTAAATCAAATGCCTCGTCATTATAATTCGCTTCCGATAGCAAAGAAAGTGACAGAGGTTATTGAAAACGAAAAAATTTCGATTGACAAATTAGTCGGTATTCTCGACACAGCAATTATAGGACTTCAACAGCGGAACTTTGTAACTGAACAAGAAATTATGTCTGTTTATAGAATTAAAGAGAATGTATTATCACATAAAAAATGAAGCAACTTAAACAACTTACATTGAAAGAAATGTTTAGTAAAGTAAACAAATAAATATTAAGCTTTTTTTTTTTTTGTAAATTTTGATACACTTTAGATCATAATTCCCGGCAGCACTGTAAATTTCCTAGAAGTATGGAATAGCGAGAGTTGCCACAACAAGCTCCGTGACTCAGCCCCTCTTTGCTGAGTTACCTATCAAAGGTCATAGTAGTCACTGATGTCCTGGTTACACATCAGACTGTTGATACAGGTGTAACAGGGCTTGTTGATCAATTTATCATCACTCTCAGTTGATTGCAATCTTCTTGACACCTGCCAACATCCTCGAATGGCAGCATTGTTCTGACCAAAATGTACAGCAATATGCTTTCACCACCCTGCTTCCTTTAGTCAAATGTCCAGTCTCAAATGATGACATCTATTTGTATTGTTTGCAAATATGTCTGCAAGACATTGGTACAGTCCACATGAGTTGATGGACCACATTTGTATGAAAGTTATACTTTAGCATTGGAATATCCTCTTTTTTATACACCATCCGCATGCTCCACTGCAAAGCTCTCAAGCTCTTAGTCAGTCACAGACTTTTAAAAGTTCATCATTTGCATATATTATCACAAGGTTTGGGGCATATGCAATTACATCCCACTTGGATAACTCCTTCTTGGTGCACTGTCTTTTATATTTATAGAGTGTATATATAAAGCCGATTCATATTTTACAAATTTTAAGTTAAATATTTTTTTAGCTACATAAGAGCTGTTTAAAGGAAATTAATAAAACATATTTATAAAAAATACTTTAAAATCATTTATAAAAATATATAAATACATACTGGATCACTTTGCCCCATTTTTGTTTCTGCTGCAAGGTTAACAACAAAATCATATGATCCTTCCTCATCAATAAAGGCATTTTGGCAAGATGCTAAAAATTAAAATTTTAGTATCAGTTATTAACAATAAAAATAGAGAATATTATCAAACGAAAACTCACTTATGGATGTATTACATAAAGTAAGAAATTTATATACGTTGTAGGATTAAAAAGTTCCCAGACTCAATCTATAACGTAAAATTTTTTTGCAGTAGTGCGACTACGAGAACATTTTTATGTTACTACGTTCTCCCCCTTTTCTAAAAGTGGTTTGTCCCAAATTACGTGGTCGAAAGCTCACGGTGACAGTGTTTTTTGTAGGCAGGTGCATTTAGTAACCGGCGACAGAAAGAAATGGCATCAATTGAGCACAGAATCATTATCAAATTTTGTGTTCCCTTACGAAAGAGTGATATGGAGACTTTCGAAATGTTGAAGCATGTGTACGGAAGTGAAACGTTATTGAGAACGCAGGCTTTTGAGTGGCATCATTGTTTCAGAGAAGGCAGGGAAAGTGCTGAAGACGGCGAAGGCCGTGACTGTCCTGTGACTTCGTGCACCGATGAAAACATCAAATAGGTGTCTGCGGCGGTATGTGCGAACAGGCAGCAAACAATCTGCCAGACAGCAGAATCAGTTGGCATATCAAAGGCCACATGTCAGCGGATGACTAAGGATCTTAACAGGCATAGGGTGTGTCAATACATCGTTCCCCACACGTTAAATGTAGACCAAAAGGGAATTCAAATGGAAACTGTGAACAAAGAACTGTACATTGAAATTCTGTGTCATTTGTGCGAGTCGATTCGGATGAAAAGACCAAAAATGTGGGCTGAGCAGTCATGGGTGCTGTTGCATGACAATGCTCCTGCTCACCGATCCTTACTCATCAATGATTTTCTTACGAAAACAACTGTTTTGCCTTATCCTACTTGCTCATCAGATCTTGCACCCTGCGATTTCTTTCTGGCAAGATGCTTGCAGGTCATCAATTTCAATCTTCAAATGTAGTTAAATGTGCATCGCAGGCTGAATTAAAAAACATGGCCAAAAATGGATTCCAGACATGCTTCGATGAACTTTACCAGCACTGGCAAAAGTGAGTTGTTGCACAAGGGTCTTATTTTGAAGGAGGATGCGTTTCTGCAATTTAATTCATAATAATTTTTTATGTTATAGTCCAGGAACTTTTGAATCCTACCTCGTATGAGGAAAATAGAAATAAAATAAATATGTTTAATACTTACTAGAGTTTATAAGGTTAGCACTTTTGAATTCAACTAGGGGACTGGAAAATACTTCCTGTACAAAATTAAAGGAAATATATGAAGAAGCAAATTTAAAAAGAAAACAATACACGCATTATGCAATAGTGGTCTTTAAACTCTGCAACTTCGCCAGAGGTTCCACAAGTCAAAATAAAAATTTCAAACAACAAAGCAAAGTATATATATCATCTAAGATAATTAATTAAATAACACTTTTTTATTTCTATTATTACAGTTGTTACCTAAAATAATATGAAGATAAAATTATGATTAGATTTTCTTTTCATTTTCCAAATAAAATGTATGCAACAATATTTTTTTTGTATGCAATAGTATATTTTTAAAGTTTTTCTAACATTTATTTTCTTCAAGGATGGTTCATAAAAATAGTAATATAGGAAAAATACTAGATTTGTTCAATAAAATATTTAAACAAGAAACAGTTCCAAAATTTCAAAAATGATCACTGATTTTCTCTACTTGTAAACCAGGAGGTTAAAATCCAAGCTCAAACTGTTGGTAAGTCATCACATCTATCAACTGTAAAATTTTCAAAACAGTTTTGCATAATAAGCTAGTTAGCTGTGTGATGGGAAAAAAAGAAGATTTTCCACGATAATCATTATCTCATACGTCAAAATGGGACTGCCAAATTTTTAAAGATATCAAGCTTTCTCAAGAAATAGAAATCACACATTCGCAGTAAGTTTACAGATATCTTGATGGACTGACTTATAAGATAGCTATTTTAGGTATTTCAAGGAAAGTTGGCTGTTGGATTATGATTGTTTAAATAAAGCATAAAGGTAAAATAGGGCTAGAATAGATATTCTGTAGATCGATGTCTTGTTCCTTCTTCTGCTGATGATATACATGCACACGTTCTTAAGCAGCAGATACATATATTAATTTGATGACACAAATTAAGTCACATTAATGTAACAAACTCATACATTTGACATCAGTACTAAATAACCAATGACACAAGCCATGTGTCAGCAGTAGATTTGGTGAGAATATAAAATGTGTCATAGGCACTCAAGAAGCATTTCAATTGGTGCTATCACAAATAAGTGAAGTATCATTTCACTTATTTGTGAATTCACTTAATATCAGACTTTTAAATATTAGGAATGATTACTGGATTTTAGGCCAAAGATGGCGACATTTCAGAAACTGTGCAGTTAGTGAACTGTTTGAGTACTGCTATTATGAAAGTGTATACCATGAATTGCCAAATGATACTATACAAAATAAACATCACAGAAATTGTGGAGCACCATAAGTCACAGATGAAAGAGCTGAAAGACAGCTATTTTAGTGCATCTGGACCAACTCACATGCTATATTGGAGCAATTTATTGCTCAGATAAATTATCAAACTATCCCACTTGTGCCCAAAACAAGTTCAACAAACCTTACAGTGCATGGAGCTCTACAGCAGGCAAATGATGCTATGCTAATAACTGTTCATGGACAGAAGAAACTGGAACTCACACCTCAGTACCAGTAATGGACTCCTGATTAGCAAAAAGTTGTTTTCTCCAATGAATTGGGAATTTTGGTTTATTGGAGGAATGCATGTTGACACATATGATGAGAAACATTAGAGACAAGCTCTTTTCAACAATCTATGGACAATTATGTGCTGGCAAAGGCAACATTATGGTCTTTGGAATGTTTTTTGCCATTTTCCGACCCACTCATCCTTGTAGATGACACTATGGATCACAATAAATATGCACTGATTCTTGCATATCACGTGCATCTATACGTACGCATTGATTTCTCCGGGAATAATGGCATCATCTAGCATGATAATGTGACATATCGCACAGCTAAGAATGTGACTAGTTCAAAGAGCATACGGAAAACTTTACTGTAATTCCCTGGTTCTCAAATCCTCCAGACTTAAACCCAATTGAGAATCAGAAATCATCCTTTTTGGATTGTTCCCTGTATGGATCTTCTGCCACATGCCCTCGAGCAGCTCACTACAAACAGCATGGTTCTGGTTCCACACCCTTATGCAAACTCTCTAGCACCTTACTTAGCCACTACCAGCCATCTAGCCATTGTCTATGCAGCACATGACAGCCCATCTAACCATTGTCCATGCTGCACTTGAAGGTTATTCAGGATATTAACCCACCGGGCGGCTCGCATTCAAATCTATTTACATCTCGAAAACTGCAGTAAAAATTAACATGTTTACAATTTTTTTTTCATTTAGTGTGAACCAAAATTGTCCTGAAAACGGCCTTTGTTAAGATTTTCTTCCCCCCTTCCTTGTAATGGAGGTATGTTCCTTGTTGGGCGATCAACAAGTCGTTTCACTTAAGGTGATGGTCCCCTTAAATGATGGTTTCCTACTGTCCTTTGATTACCGCCTAGAGGCGAGTTAAGCAGATGGGCTGGTTTTGCCCTTATACGGAGGAAGGAACACGTTTTGTGTCCATGCTTTGGTTAGACGAAAAAAGATATTTTTTTCTTTTCTGGAAATCCAAACCAGAAAAGGAAGTTTTGTATTGCCTTGTTACTAATTTTGTGCATATTTCTAATCTCTAATTGCTTATCCGAGCCGTGCCAAGATAATTTTTTCACCTGAGGCAGAAAGGTCAAATGCGCGTTCCATATAATATAAAAATAGCTACATTTGTATTAAGCAAAAGTAATTGTATTAAGTCAAAATGTCATAACTTCTTATAGCATAATTATACCATAATTCTTAAAGTATTTTTAATAAATCGTAGTTTTTATAAATTCATAGAAATAATGTAGCCAATTATTTATAAAATTTTCAAATGAAAACGTTAAAAAATTCGTTTTGATAAATAAGAATAACACTGAAATGCATATTGCATTAATTTCCAGGTTTTCTTGCAATTTTTTTGGTTTGTTTTATTGATTTAAGTTTGACGAAGCCTATTTCCTCTAATAATTAAAGTAATTTTCGAATTCTTCTAGTGATTCACATGAGCAATTTGGCGCCTCTTCTAGTGATTCACATGAGCCCGGCTTTGTTGCTTTTTAAGTATAAATGTTATTGATTTTTATTGCGTTTCGTTATTTTAATGTACGTTTATAAAATGTTAATTTGCTTTTATATGCATATTTCAGTAATATAATCTTACGACTAGTGAGACAGTGTAGTTTAACTAATTTTCTGCTTTTGATTCATGTTATCGAGCTTTAACGCTAAGAAAAAATTTATCAGAGGCTTAAAATACCTAATTCCTATTGAAAGCTACATGTAATTGATAATTAAATTACTATTAAAATAACAAACACATGCTCAGTGTCAGTCATTTCGACATAATGTTTGTAATTCATTTTACCATAAATTTATTTCGTTTATCTTGTTTCATATTTATAAAACGGGAGTTTACCTTTATCGCATTTATTGGTTGATAGAAGTTATGAAATATTGAATATTTTGAAACAAATTTCAGTTATAATAACCTTATTAAAAATTTTCTACATATAGACAGAAGTCACAGATACCTCTCAATTTCCGAACTAAATTACATGGTACTGAAATTCGGTGCATTTTCATATGATTATTTTTGACAGAAAAGAGTTACCTTACGTAAATCACAAAAGAACATTGTTTTAATTCTTAATTAAATATAGCACTTGTATTAAATTGCTAAAATTCATTGTTAGGAAAATCTCGCTCTAAAAAAATTAGACACTTTTAACCTTTCAAAGTGGAATTTTTGTGGCTGTTCTCCTGTGCATAATGTGGGCGCGAGTAAGTTTTTCTTAGAATGTCCTTCCACGGAGGCATTCCTCCCTTTAGGCAGATAGCTCTCGCGTGCTTTGAAGGAAAAATAAAGCAAACCAAAACAAAAGCTTCAAAATTGGTGTTTAACATAACATTTTTGGGGGTTCAAATACGCAAATTACTTAGAGATCTCAATTCACATTATCAAATGTTATTATTTAAGTAAATAAAAGCAAGCTGAGCGATTTCCATTTAAATTGTTTGTTAAATATAATAATCTAATAAAAATAAAAAATAAGAACAGTAAGTTTTTGAATATATCTTGTCAACATCAAGCAGGGACAGGAACATGCCAATGTAAAATTTAATATTAGGCCAAAAGAAACGCTTTGACGTAGATTTTGGATAAAACTTAATCAAATTCGCAGGTAGTCAGAGACAGGCCTTTCTTCAGTAGAGAGAAAAAAATGTTTCTGAAGTATTTGTGTATTTATTACATAAATGTTTTAATGTTCCATAGCACTGCTAATAATCGATAAAATTTATTTGATGAAAAGTAGGAAGTTTTGCTTTTCAAATTCCGATTTTTCAACTTTTTCAGTGACATATGTGGCATCGAAAAACACGTTGGCCAAGAGGCAGATTAATGGCTGAAAAATTCTTAGAATTTAAAGAGGCATCGAAGAAGAAAATTTAGGATGGATGGCGAAATTCTAAGAATTTGGCACTTGACAACGGCAAAAGTTTTAGAATGTAGAGAGCTACAGAATTTAGGCAGGGCAAAATATTTTAAATTTATAGAACATCGGTCAGTAGAATTAAGATCCCACAGTGATTGCACTGAGAAACAAATCGACCTGCTCCTCGATTATGCGGATGGACGCAGATTAACTTCTGAAAGCTCAGCGAAGCAAGAGCTATACATAATGCAGCTATTTACGATTTCTGCTATAATAAACTGAAATTTAATATAATAATTTAACACTATATATCAATTTACGAAAACATGATGATACTTTTGAGAAATTTTCTTAATAATTCCCCAGTACACTAAAAAAAAAAAAAAAAGTACAATAGATTACATAATGATATTACTACCAAAATGATCGATGACGCATTTAATTTTTATCTTTTTATTAATCTAAATAATATGTCATTGAGTTTTTCCATAACTTATAGTTTTGCAAATTAAAAATGTTCAATAATATAATATGTGATTATGGTATTATTGGTATGGTGCTATTCAAGGCAAAAAGCACATGAGGGTTATCTGCCTGAATGGAGAGATGCTTTCGTGGAGGACTTTC